TACTATCAAATGACACGCTTCATTTCGTGCCGACATACCTAACCTGTATCCTAACCTCTGACATCCTACAAATTTATAGGATAGGGGATGTATCTATTATCAATGAGAGTATAAGAACAGGTCAGAAAATAACAAAAGTAAATAAAAAAAAGTAAAAAGTATACAAAACAAATGTATTGGTCTGATTTAATTAATGCGATTTTAAGAATAAAAATACGTGTAAACAAAAAACAGCTGTTAAATGCATGGATGCCATGTTGGTTACCTTCGCCCTAACGGATAGCAATGTGACTACACTTTCGACCTAACATCTAACATTGGCCTTGGCTTGTTAGATCGAGTAATGTTAACTGGCCGATTCTTACAAGTCTACGTCATCATTTTTCTCGATCTAACAGGACCTAACAGACTTAACAGGGTTAACACAAACCCTATAATCGTCGAAAGCTCGGCAAAAATCGAAAAAATTGTCGTTCCGTTGTGACCTCACCGAAACAAATATTTATTGATAAAAACAATGAGACAAATTAAGGACAGAATTTTCTTTTATCGAGAAAATGAAAAAAAATCAGTTGGGTGGAATTTTTTGCCCTGTGGTATATAAAACAAAAGAATAAAAGTAAATAAAAGATGATCTTTTCCAAAACGGAGGTAATTGTCTGAAGGACCATTGGCCTGACAAGGTCAACCGTTATAACAATGTTGATAGATTATGAGTCTTATCGATTTTAAGTAATTTTTAGCAGATCATGTAAAACTCGTATACCTAAACGTCAGTCGGGGTCTTGTTTCGAATCAATTTATTCCTATAAGCCCACTGATGGGTATTTTAAGCCTACCCTAGCTGATACCCAAAGGTAAAAGGTTTCCACGAATTTTCCCTAAAAGAGGTTTACGCCCGGATGGCGCGGCTGCCTTTGTTGTTCAACAGGCTTATCTTTCGAGTGGTTCCGAAAGTGAAAAATCTCCGCGAGATCTCCCACCTGGGTGAAAACGGCGTCGGCTCTAATCGTCGGGGCCCACACCCTCGGGATTCGCCTATTAATCTTATTATATGCGGAGATGCTTTCGCAATGGTTTATATACTTTACCGGCCCTCTCTAACAATGCCGTGAGGAACAAAGCGTGCCGGAGGGCCATTGTTACTTTTCCCTTCATCCTTCCATTTCCCCGGCTGTTCTTTCACCCGACACAAACGGCATGCTCAAGTTTCTGGTAAAGACTCTCGAGATGGGTGTTGCCGAACTTCGTATACAGTCTGAGGTAAAACGGGACAAAAATGTATTATACTAAATTATTATTATATACAATGTGATTAACGACGCATGCACGTTTGTAACGCTAAACAAGGAGTTATTAAAGTAAGCCTTAATATGGCTTAATATTTAATAAAACTTATTATGTAAGGTTTTGGTTGAAATGAAAAAGCTAGTGTCACGTGCGGGATTCGAACCCACGACCTTCGGCTCAATACGCCGCCGCTCTAACCACTTGAGCTGTCGTGATTTCCACTCGGACACTAACTTTTTCATTTGAACCAACACCTATCATAAAAAGATTAATTAACCGAAAGAAGTAATTTGGTCAATCAGTCCACTAAATATAATGGATTTAATAAATAAAACAAAGTATAATTTTACCAACAGTTATTCAGGATATCGTGAGTTCGAGTCCCGCTCATGACACTAATTTTTTACGTCAATCTCACTTTACATAAAAATAATTAATGATTTACTTAAAAATAAAAATATACTTTACTTAAGATGATCAAAAAACCATAGACAACATTTTTTCGAATTTCCTGGAAGTTTAAATATTGCTGCACAATCATTAATGAATATGTATTTTATTTAAATAACCTTTTTATGTAAGGTTTTGGGTTGAAATGAAAAAGCTAGTGTCACGTGCGGGATTCGAACCCACGACCTTCGGCTTAACAAGTTCTTAACACAAATAGATTCTAATGAAAATATTAAAGAATTTCCAATGTATTTAGTGGTCTGATGGACCAAATTACTTCTTTCAGTTAATTAATCTTTGTATGTAAGGTCTTGGTAAATGAAAAAGTTAGGGTCACGTGCGGGATTCGAACCCATGACTTTCTGCTCAACACGCCGCTGCTCTTACCACTTGAACTATCGTGACGTCGATCCACTCGGACACCAACTGCCCATAACAACCTACAACCTTTCGAATTTTCCCTCCTTTTGGGGATTTTTTTAGGTTTTATGTAAGGTTTTGGTTGAAATGAAAAAGCTAGTGTCACGTGCGGGACTCGAACCCACGACCTTCGGCTTAACAAGTTCTTAACACAAATAGATTCTAACGAAAATATTAAAGAATTTCCAATGTATTTGGTGGTCTGATGGACCAAATTACTTCTTTCAATTAATTAATCGTTTTATGTAAGGTTTTGATAGAAATGAAAAAGCTAGTGTCACGTGCGGGATTCGAACCCACGACCATCGGCTTAACATGCCGCTCCTCTTACCACTTGAGCTCGTGAATTGTCAAGTATAAGAACAACGGCGTGTTGAGCCGAAGGTCGTGGGTTCGAATCCCGCTCGTGACACTAACTTTTCCGTTTCAACCAAGACCTTGCATAAAATGAATAATTACTTGAAAGAGGTAATTTGCTCAATAGACCACTGAACATAATGGAATTAAATAAAGTTGAGTTGAAAGACACACTGTATAACAAAGCGAAAAAAAAACCAACCTGATGTAAAGTCCATCATTTTCAACTTTCTTTAATATGAACTGACTTTTATCTTTTTTTTTTAAATATATCAACAATTTTTTTTCCGCCTCCGACACATTTGAAAAAAATACACAAACCGATTTAACCATTTCTCTTTAATACATAAGGATATACGACCAGGGTTTGTTAATATGTATGGCTTTCGAGGAAATGAAAGCGGCTAGGCATTGTTTACACAGGGAAAGCCCCTCGGTTCGTAAACAGCTGGATTTAACCCTGTTTATAAATGGGTAATCTACTTAGGTTCATCCTAAGCCGGGAGAATTAGAAGGGGAAGAAAGAAAACCGCATTTTATTAACGGCGATGATCTATTTTTTTAAAAAGTCTGGGTCAAATGACGGGTTCGGGATTATCAGCAATGCCCTAAGAGACCGTCATCGTAGCTTCTTTTACGAACAATTTGGAAAAAGCGAAAATGAGTAGGAAAAAAACAGTGATTGCTTTACAAAAAGGAATGTTCTGAAGTGTGTCCCACAGCTCTCAAGCCCCTGGTCCACTATTCCGGAACGTTTTTCGGCCTCCTGGAAAAGTTGGAAGAACTTCGCCGGTTTTTCGATGGTATTTCGTAGATGATATTGTCGCTATCATAGGTCTATGCAGACAGGATCTGGTACCCTAACCCTAGTGTGCCTCTGATATGGCACCCGCCGCCCATGCCGCCCCAAGGCCGACACGAGTACAGCTTGTTCTTTAGAGAGGTTGCCAAGCTCTTTGGGGCCGCCCGATCCGCCGTATCCCTTGAGGCCGGGTGTATAACGTGGTCCTACGCAAGTTTCGTGCGAAGGTCACAGGTAGAAGACGACATCTTCTATAAGTTCCCTCCAGGGGCGTCACCACGTACCACTATGAATCCATTCCCAGTGTAAAAGGGGATGGATTTTGGAACATTTCTGTAACCCCGTAGTTCAGATGGTTATGCACCCTCCCCCGACTGTGCAGACAGGATCTGATACCCTAACCCTAGTGTGCCTCTGATATGGCACCCGCCGCCCATGCCGCCCCAAGGCCGACACGAGTACAGCTTGTTCTTTAGAGAGGTTGCCACAGGTTTTCACAGGCTCCCTTCCGGGTGCCCGCTACTCCGCGAAGGCCGAATGTCTCACCTAGGCTTGAGAGACTCTTCCTCAGGAATCCGAACCCTGGATCGCACTGGAGATTTGGGGGATAGTGTTCCAAGTTCTCCTCCTCGACGACAAAAAGAAGGAACCCAGAGCAAGAGGAAGTGAACGAGGACATGAGGACCACACTTGTCTTGGGCCCCGAGCCTTGTCCACATATTACCACCCGTCGTCGATGCAGTTCCACATTAAGCAGGCCGCACCTCCCAGGGTGGGTGAGGCGCTTCGCAAGCTGTCCTGAGCCGTCTCGAGTGTGTGTGATTCCGAGACTGCATGGCCTTTCGGCCCACAGGTCGGATTGGGATATTCGCATTAGTGCTCCTCATGGACGACTGGAATCCCCAGGACCTCACAGACTCGCCCTTACGGATGCCCGTTACTATCCAAGGGCACACTATCGTCAACTCTAGAGCTATAGAGTCTCTCCCACACGAGTTTCGGGGTAAATTTGAGGGATGAGTTAATCAATTCATCTTACCTCTCGTTGGTGCCCTTTGGTTAGTTTTTTCATTTGCCTGACGGAGCAATGCCACTTAAGAAAGCACATGCACCTGATAGATGTACAGACAGAAGAAACACTGTGGAGATACTGCCAGGAAGAGGAGGAGACCGCAGAACACATTTTATGTTCTGCAAAGGTCTATGTAGGTACAGGTTCTTGTAACTAGGACAAGAAAAACCACAAGCAAGATCCTACACCAAGGAACCGCTGGCAAAGCTATGGAGGCTAGTTAACAGCCTGAAGCTGGCCAGTGAGTTATGATAAAAAGAACAGCTCAACACTAGAATAATAGATCTCTTTTGTTCGATGTGCAGTAGGCCTTGTGGCCGCCGCTCTTATCCCTATCCATGTCCCCTACTGGGTCATATAGTTCTTCATTTAAACCCTGCTGAAACCCCTAGCTACTAACCAAGCTGTACATTTTCTTTTGACCATTCATCCTTTCTTTCAAAACCCATTTGGTATCTATGATTTCTTTACCTGGAGGTTGATCTACCTTCATTTTCTTTTAATGACTTTAATTCTTTGTTATTTGCTTTCAGCCAATCACTACTTTTAATAGCCTCAGTTAGAAATAAACGTTTTTGTATCATGAAAAAATGTGTTGTTTCATTCCAGGTGATGAGGTCCGAGACGAACGAGTGGATCGGTGAGAGGTCGTCGCGCGCTGCGAGGAAGACGATACAGGACCCGTCTTTCGCCGAGCTGACCGACTCTTCCTCAGTCAGCGAGGAGTCCTGGAACGGGAGGTCCAGAAAAGGCGGAGGCCGTAAAAGAAAACCAGCCCTCAACGCCAGAGAGAGGAATCTGAGAAGGCTGGAGTCGAACGAAAGGGAACGGATGCGAATGCACAGCCTAAACGATGCTTTCCAGGTACTACGCCCATACCTAAACTTCAAAGGTCACGTTTAAACATTTCACTTTTTCAGTCACTCCGCGAGGTCATCCCTCACGTGAAGAAAGAACGGCGGCTCAGCAAAATCGAGACGCTCACATTAGCGAAAAACTACATCATGGCGTTGACGAACGTCATCTGCGACATGAGGGGCGAATCCTGCCCTTACGGTCAAGAACAGCAGCCGTCCCTCGACGAAATCAAGACCGACTAATTCCAAAATAAATTTAACAAGTCAGGAAATCTGCCCCAAGCCAAAAAAGAACAACAACGAACCAGGAGACATAGTTATCCGAAAAGCTACAGGGTTGCGGATAAAGGGTATTGCAAAAAAAAACATAAATCCGCATTTAAATTTGATTATTGCCACACCACATTTTCAAGATTCTTCTTTCATATTTCTTTCTTATGAATCATGTAAATTAACTGTGTATGAATTTAAAACTTTCATTAGACTTCAAATATTTTTCTAACTGAAAGTCATTAGGATTCTTTCGGACTGTGTAAAGTCTTAGAACATTTTGTAAATTATTAAATGATTTTTTCCTTTGTTCAAATGTTTTCCTATCTGCTGGAGGCTTTCTTCCCTTTCTTGCTGAAAGACATAGGTCAGATGACAGACTAGTTCAAAATTTCTCCAGTTTGAAAGTTCTTGTTGAATTACAAAATTTTTGAAATTTGGTGTGGTAGCTTAAAATTGTACTGGTCTCGCTGAAATGTATTATTTCTTCTTTTGTCCGACTGTTTTCCGGGTATGATGAATTCACTGTTTCTTCCATTGTTTCTATATAATAGGCACGTTCATTCAAAATTTCTCGATTCTCCAGCCAGGCGTATTTTCTCTTTTCTTTGTTCGAAAAGTGCTATTAATAGTGATAAAAGGTCAAATTTATTTATTCCAATTTTAATAGGTTTTGAATTGAATTTCAGAAAAACTACTTGATTTTTGTTATTCACGTTTGATGTTCTTTCGAGAATTATTTTGTTAAAAAATATATTTATTTTACGATTTGTTTTCGATTTTTATTCACGGGCTTCCTTCTAAATTGGCTAGATATTTTTCTACTTAATAGTTGTATATATATTTTTTTTTTCAACAAAATATTTGTTATTTTAATTGAGCAAATAAATTAGTCGGTTCAACTTTATAATGAACAGTTATATAATTTAAATATATTATATTTAGTGGTCTATTGACCAAATTACTTTTTCAATTAATTAATCTTTTTCTGTAAGGTTTGGGTTGAAATGAAAAAGTGTCGCGAGCGGGATTCGAACCCACGACCTTCGGCTCAATACGCCGCTGCTCTAACCACTTGATATAGCGTGTCGATGTCACGCGGTCACGACAACTCAAGTGGTTAGAGCGGCGGCGTATTGAGCCGAAGGTCGTGGGTTCGAAACCCGCTCGTGACACTAAGTTTTCATTTCACCCACATTTACATAAAAAGTGTAAATCAATTTAAATCATTACATCCATTATATTTAGTGGTCTATTGACCAAATTACTTCTTTCAATTAATTAATCTTTTTTTTTTTTTTTTTGGTTGGATTGAAAAAGTTAGTACCACGAGCGAGATTCGTACCCCCGACCTTCGGCTCACGAGTCATGACAGCTCGAGTGGTTAGAGCGGCGGCGTATTGAGCCGAAGGTCGTGGGTTCGAAACCCGTTCGTGACACTAACTTTTTCATTTCAACCACAATTTACATAAAAAGTGTAAATCAATTTAAAATTATTACATCCATTATATTTAGTGGTCTCTTGACCAAATTACTTCTTTCAATAAATTAATCTTTTTATATAAGGTTTTGTTTGCTTTTTTGGTCGGAATGAAAAAGTTAGTACCACGAGCGGGAGTCGAACCCACGACCTTCGGCTCACGAGTGGAGCTCAAGTGGTAGAGCAGTGGCGTATTGAGCCGAAGGTCGTGGGTTCGAATCCCGCTCGCGACACTAACTTTTTCATTTAACCAAAACCTAACATAAAAAATTATGTAATTTTATCACACATTTATATATTTGTATAATATGTAGTATATATTTGGAAAATTGTGATAAGATCTTAACTGTGTGACGTGGCAAATTTTCTTATTTATCTTCCCCAAGCTTAAAAAAAAAAAACATAAAATAAAATAAAAAAATAAAAGCAGCTTTTGTATTCATATACTGACTGATATATCACGATTTTGAATTTGTAAATATATTTTTTGTGCGAGTTAATTTTATTTTAACAAAAAAAAAAAATCAGGGCAGATTGCCCTATTACCCTAACAAAATTAATGTTGGAGTTTGTTATACTTTCTAATTAAAAAAAAGGCTGATGAGAAATTTAAAACTAATTATATTATAAATATATATTATATATAGTATGTTTGGTTGGGCCAATGTTTTTTGACTGACAGAAAATTGTTGTTAGCTTAAAAAATTATCGAAATATTCAGATTATAGGAAAAAATATGTAGAGAAAAAGTTAAGTTTGAACGTTTTCATAATTTTTGCTTCGTGTGCAATATTCTTGTAAACTAGTATTAATTATTGTTATATAAATGTTATAGGATAAAATAAAAAGATTGATGTATGTTCCTTGTATTTTAAATGAAAAAAAATTTAACGTTGGATGTCGGTAGATGAGAAATATCTGTTAATCTTTAAATCGTTTGTGATTATTATCAACTGGAAAATTTAAAAAAAAATCATTGTAGTAGTTGACATGGTGCAGGGCCTGAGCTAGTCTTTAGACGATTTTTTTGTGTGCTTTCGATTTAAAAACAAAAATTATATGAGCTTAAAAGCTGTGTAAAATTTTCCGTGATAATTTATCGGCCGTATGTGTAATTTAAAATTTAAAAAAAAATAGAAAAATATTGTATTTGTAAAACTAAAATGGTTGATTCGTCAGATTTGAATGGTTTGCTAGAAATACCATAAAAATGTAAGAATGGAATGTAATCTGGTCAATTTTTCACTATTGATAAAAAATTAAAAAATTGTCTAGTCTGACTGTCATACAGGGAGTTTATTTTTCTAAATAGTTCTTAGGCAGGCCGGTTTTGTTAGTTTCGTCCAAAAAAGTTCGGTTTCACTTTTTTTGTCTTTTTGTCAACAATCACCGCCGTAACTTTGTGATAATGGTGAGATCTCGTTTTCTAAAAAAAAATGTCAAATTTAATGGTGACTGCCAAATGGGCTAAAATTGACTTTAACGTTTTGCTTTTTTCGGCCTCGGAAAAATGAAATTGAGTCGTTGTATTACCAACTTAATATAAGTAAGCATAAAATAGAAAATAAATATATTATTTATAATTAAATTGTAAATTTGGTTGTATTATGTAAAAAATATATTATCTACTAAACTAATAACATATTATATAAATAAAATTATATTTAAAACATATAAATTTATTTTTGGAATAAGTGTATTATTATGAGTCTTTTGAGGTTTCTCTTATTGAAACACAAATAAAACAATAATATTTAATGTTGCCTACATAATGGTATTTTTAATGTTATTATTTTTTCCTTTTGCAACATAAATTATAAGGCTTTATTAAAACCTCTTGAGAGAGATTTATATTGAAATAAAAAAATTTGAAGAAATATAACTAGAGAGATATGACTGTATGATTTGTTTGTGATGTTACACCAGAATGTATATATATATATANATATATATATATATATATAAATTAAGTCCCAAGTGTCTTACAGTCTACCTGAAATGTATATGGGCTTAGCTGTCGGGTTCAATTCAAGGGTCATCTTTTCTTGGTGAAAATGCAAATATTTGATTTCCCCTCTGAAACAGTGAGATATAGATTGCTGAAAAACTGTTATAATTCCTCACCACCCAGTTAAATCGCGACAATTCCAACGACCAAAAAATGGATTCTTTCCTGTTCAAGACACTTCCCTTACACATCACGTTTATGGTTCTCAAATCTTTCCCTCCGCTCAACAACATACAAAACCCTGGGTCACGGAAAAAATGTAAAAGAAAGACAGGATTATCCTCACACGATTGCGGATAGGCTACACGAGGCTGACGCATGGCACCTCTTAATTAGAGGTCTCTGTGTGGTGCAGTTGTCACAGTGAAGCACATCTTAGAAAAATGCGAACAGCTGGCACGACACAGAGCGGTCCGACCTACCTTCCGATATCTCAAAAATTCTAAGGCATAACAGCGACCATAAAGATCGACTTATGACATATATAAAATCAATAAACGCTTACTGCCGCATATAACCCCCATATGTGGTTCCCCCCTCAATGTATTGTACGAACGTATTTATTAGCGTGAGTGATTTAGCATGCATGGTTCGGCTGTCACCGAATATCGAGTAACTCACAGGCCCACCGATTTAGGTTAGTAATAATACATTTGTAGTATGATTGTAGGAAGGGTCGACAGCGTCTTGGTTGTAGTATACTACCGAGATGCTGCGTCCTTTCTAGTATGATCGTATTTATTAGCGTGAGAGGTTATGTGTGAATGGACGTGGATGTCGAGGAATATCGAGTACTCCACAGTCCCGTCAAAAAAACCTTAGGATTAGTTTTATGGTTAAGTGGAATTTGTATATATCGTTTGAATGTATTTAGTCGCGAGAATGGAAGGAGGTCGGCAGGATTAGAACCATCTTACCGACCTCCACTTTAGTTGTAATATTAGGAAACTAGGTTTATTAGTATAAATGTGTATTATGAATATGTATGTAAATGGTCAAATACTTCCATTTACCACAACTGGAGGGATACAAAGAGAAATGCAACCGCTTTACTCTTTTTCCATCCATAAACAAGCCAACCCCTTAACCAAAATAACCAAATATGTATTTAAGTTTTTAATAGCGAATTGCATTACTATGCCACTGTGATTGTGTAAGATTGACTATTTTTAATTTAAAAAATAAATATATATACATATACACACAAACATATATGTGTGTGAGTGTATGTATATATATATATATATATATATATTTTTTTTTTTTTTTTTTTTTTTTTTTTTTTTTTTTTTTTTTTTTTTTTTTTTTTTTTTTTTTTTTTTTTTTTTTTTTTTTTTTTTTTTTTTTTTTTTTTTTTTTTTTTTTTTTTTTTTTTTTTTTTTTTTTTTTTTTTTTTTTTTTTTTTTTTTTTTTTTTTTTTTTTTTTTTTTTTTTTTTTTTTTTTTTTTTTTTTTTTTTTTTTTTTTTTTTNAATGTAAAATAAAAATAATTCCAACAGAATTTTTTTAATATAGCTATAGATACCATGGTTTTTTTTTCATCAGCTCACATAATTTCCTTCAAGAATTAGAATGAATGTAAAATAAAAATAATTCCAACAGAATTTTTTTAATTTACCTACATATACGATGGACATTTTTTTCAACAACTCACATAATTTTCATGAATACTTAGAATGAATGTAAAATAAAAATAATTCAACGGAGGTTTTTTAACATAGTTATAGATACCATGGACTTTTTCTCAACGACTAACATAATTTCCTTTAAGAATTAGAATGATGTAAAATAAAAATAATTCCAACAGAATTTTTTTAATTTAGCTACATATACGATGGACATTTTTTTCAACAACTCACATAATTTCCTTCTAGACATTGAATGAATGTAAAATAAAAATAATTTCAACAGAATTTTTTTAGTATAGCTACAGATAAGATGGACATTTTTTTCAACAACTCACATAATTTCCTTCAAGACATCGAATGAATGTAAAATAAAAATTATTCAACAGAAGTTTTTTAACATAGTTATAGATACCATGGACTTTTTTTTCAACGACTAACATAATATCCATTACGAATTAGAATGAATGTAAAATAAAAATAATTCCAATAGAAATTTTTAATATAGCTGTAGATACCATGGTTTTTTTTTATCAACTCACATAATTTTCTTCAAGAATTAGAATGAATGTAAAATAAAAATAATTCAACAGAAGTTTATTAACATAGGTATCGATGCCATGGACTTTTTTTTTCAACAACTAACATAATTTCCTTCAAGACTTAGAATAAATGTAAAAAAAAGTACTTTGACTAAAACTATTTTTCAGGAAGAAAATAAGTTTTCTTTGTATTTCTCAAAACTGGAAAATTGGATTCT